TTTTTTTTTTTTTTTTTTTTTTTTTTTTTTTTTTTTTTGGCAGCTGGCTGGTAAGAGGGATCAAAACCTGGACCTTGGTGTTATCAACACCATACTCTAACCAACTGAGCTAACCAGCTAGCCAGGCTTTCTAATTTTTAAAATATCCTGGACAGGAGGTGCAAAATTTTATTGCCCCTTCTTTATTTCTGGGCCATTCAGCTTCTGCGAGGCATCAGGTCTCCACTGCTTAGAGTACATGTGTGGCAGGGATAGTATTTTGAATACTAATATGTTTTCTTTCTCTTTGTATTTTTCCATGTTCTTTCTCTTCATTGAAACTGATAGCTGGTTGTGTGCTTATTGACTCAGGGGTAGCACATGGCAGGATGGAAAAGGCAAATAGCACACAAGCCTTTCTGGCTTCTGAATTCCAAAAGGGGGATCCTACGCATAGGGCCAGAAATAATGAGGGGAGTGGAAGCCACTCTCCCAAAACTGAAAAGAAATTTTTCTGGGCTGGGGAAAGGAGATAAGTGTATTAGTCCATTTCTGTTGCTTATAATAGAAATATCTGAAATTTGTAAAGAAACAATGTTTATTGCTTACAGTTTCAGAGGCTGGAAAATACACAGTCCAGTGGGTGCATCTGGTGAGGGGCCTTTTCCTGGCGGTGAGTCTATAGTGACACAGGGTATCACCTGGTGAGAATGACTGGAGCAAGAGAAAGCTAACCTCTTCACCTGGTCTCCTTTTAAAGCCGTCAGAACCGTGCCTGTTACTCCATGAATGGATCAATCCATTTACAAGGGCATGGTCCTCACAATCTAATCACCTCTTCAAGGCCCCACCTTTCAGTTACCATAATAGGATTTCCTATCTCTTAATAGTTATGGTGAAAATTAAGCTTCAGTGAGTTTGGGGGCTACATTCAATTCACAGCAATGAGGTGAAGAGAAACTGAAATCCATGGGTTTCAAAAGCAAAGGGTGCCTGTGCACTGCCTCCCAAAGAGTGCTGCTAGGAGGGGTGGCATGATCCCATAAAAACTGGCTGTTTCGGGTGTCTGAAGATACTTCTTCTTTAGCCAGTAAGGAAGTGAGTAATCTGTATAATGGGGTCAATAATATCCACTTCACCAAGCAAAGCAGTTCTGAGAATTATAAGAAATAACACATGTGAATGGCTGATACTAAGTAGGTACTCAGTAAATGTTATATTCCCTCCAACCCACATTGATGTTTTGGCCTTGCCCTTCAAACCAATTCCATTCCTGTCTCACCCCCATGATCCATTTTCCACATTCTTGCTCCTGGACTGCTGAATGGTACTGGAGAAAAGGCAGCAAAATCATGCAGGCGAGAGGCAAGCGAGGGCTGCCGTGGTCTCCTCCTCTTTCTCCTCATCCTCCAGGGTATCAGAACTGAAAGGAATATCTTAGAGAACTGAGACATTCCTTTCGATTTCCTGTGCTTGAGTGGTAACTCTCTCAAATGATAGCATATGGCCCCAGAACACATGGATGGGGAGAAGGAGGCAAATGGATAATTGAGTTATTCACAGACATGTGATTTCTGATACCCCGTACCATCTGTGAGTCCACAGATGTGTCCTCCTGGCCCTTTGGTTTTCCTGGAATCTCCAGGAATAAAGGAGAGTGGGGGAATTGTTAGCAAATCTCTGCCATGTGCTTAGCTATGCGGAACCATGTCTGGTTTCCCTTTTGAGCTGAGCATACTTGTCAGATGATACTCAGTTCTCTATTTAGCTGCTCCAGAAGTGGATAGATTTCTCTTTGTGGTGCTCAGGTATCTACACTCAGACAGAGGTGGCAGCCCATGACTGGGGCATATTTAATAGAGCTCTATACTTGCATAAATAAATTGGGTTTTCCCATGTTCTCTCCAGGAAGAGAGGCCTGTGGGTTTTCAAAGGCTTCTATTGTGCTGTCGTCCTAATGGTATTGCTTATTTGTTTCCTAACAGGGATCAGAGTCCTTAGAGAATAGGAAAGGGGACAGATAAGTTTTGATTATAAGGAAATTGATGTGAGAGCCATCAGGCATGGGCTTGGGAAGACAGACTTAGGTAGAATGCTATATTTGGGTCTTGCTTTCCAGATGGTGAGGGATGTGTGGGGAGCTGAACATAAGGTTACCTCCACCTTCTTTACAGTTTGACTTCCAATAGATATGGATAGACCATGACTATGGCCGTGGACCCTCTCAGAAAGCATTGCTGCTCACAGATTGGTCCAATCTTTATCTCAGTTGGGTATGTAGTTTATTTTAAGTTCAACACCTTTTTTTCTTTTTATTCCTTACAGATTTATGAAGGTAGCAGGAAGCACAGTGGATGCAGTTACCTGGCAACAGTAGGTATTCACCATTTTTGCTCTTACTTATTATCAGCTGCTATGAAATGAAAGATAATTAGTTGTCACCAAGTTCATAGCTGACATTTAACAAGCTATCTTTCATCCTTCGAGAAAAAGTTTTAAACTAACTCCAAAACTGTTCTTATGGCACATGCTGGGTCATAGTAGCATGATTTTGTTTTATTTTGCTGTTTTCAAGAAAAAACAAAATGAAACAAAACAACCCCCCCCCCAAAAAAAACAAAAAAAACCACCAGTACATTTTAGAGAGGTCAGCTATTATGTACAATTTTAAATTAATCTGTCATCAGCAAGTAGGTAATAGGGATCTAAGCATGCCACCATTTCCCCATAGGCTTTTCCTTTGGGAATAAATTTTCTTGGGAGGAAATAGTTTTAATTGCTCAATATATCATGT